CATGGGGCGGCACTGCAGTGAGCACTGCTGTTTGAGTGGAGGGGAGCTGCTTCAGATCCTCCTTTTGGATGGGGATAGAAAGGACATAGTCCCCAGGTCAGAGGCTACACCCTGGGCACCTGAGCTGTGCTTGAGTAAAGGTACACTGTCTGGCAGGGAGGCTCTGGTGCCAGCATGGGCTGCTCCTGTCTGAGTCTGAGGGAGCCTGTCATCTTCCGGGACCCATCTGGCTTCTGCAGGGACCAGACTGATTAATTAAATGGTGATAGGATAGGAGCCACAACCTGCATCCTATAGGTTTTAGGGGTAGTTTTAAACCTGAAGGCTTTGAAATCCAAACTCAGGATGTGGTGATGTTTTTGATGTATTCCTTGGCTGGGGTAGGGGACAATTTTAGAACCTCCCCTCACTTCCCTGCTCTGATAGCTCTTATCTGTGTGGGCGTTTGCAACTGTCAAGTGTGTCTGTCCCTGTTACCCATTTGGAAGTAGGGCAGCGGCTCTGGGATGGGTTTACTCACCCAGCTTCCTGATCATCCAGTGTTGATTCTTCTGAGGAGAGTTCAGGGGTTCTAGGGATTTAAGATCAGAGGGCATCACCCCAAAGGGCCCCACCCTCTATCTTAGGTATTACTCTTTCCCAGCAGGAGCTCTGTTTGCTGGAGCAGAGCTCCCAAAGTCCTGCGGAGCTCTGCGGTCTTCCTCACCAAGTCCTGGGCCTCATCCTTTGCTTTCTCTGTGGTTTGAATCCGAGTGGCAGAGCCCTTTCACGAGCTGGCACCGAAGCCTCTGGCTTTCACGCCTGGAGTTTAATTGATGGCTAATGTCCTCCAGCTTTCATTGTTGCTCTCCCAAACATCCATTGCTCTCAGCAGCAGCCATCTGATCTCACCTCTTTATACTCTTTCCCGTGTATATTTCTCAAATGGCTGATTCTTAGCCCTGGCTGTACACTTCCTGCCAGATACATGACCCCAGTTCTCTCTGCTGAAGGATTTAGCCATTACATTGCTACTTTGAGCCAGGAGCTAGGTGAGGGGGTCTTCATTCTGGCTGGGTAGGGGGTGATCGAGCTCCAGAAATCCTACCGATGAGCCTTCACTTTCTTGAATCTCTGCTGGTGTCAAGAGTGGGTTCCTGGGACAGACTCTGAGTGGGACATTGGGGTGCTGGAAGTTTCTTGGGGGCACTCCCGCGATCCAGGAAGGAAGGAACAGGAGTGGGCCGAGGAGAGGTGGGACAATGTTGTGGTCATCCTGTGGAGGCTGGTGTGGCCTTCAGAGTCCTGCTGAGCTGGGGCAGGAGGGCCAGGCTGCCATGCTCCTCACCCGTCCATCAGTCATTGGATGCCAGCTATTGCAAGAAAGGATCTTGTTCAGGTGACTCCTTTCAGCCAAGGGCAGCACCTGCAGAGGATAGACAGCTCTCCCCGTCCTGGGGAAATGCACCCTTCAGTCCTAACATGGGGTCTGGAAAATGCATAGACAATCTGTAACAATAACCCCAAAGTATTCATTTTATTGGGGCCACTTTGCGCTTACATGGGACAAGGTTTAGTGCTGATGCCTCCTTTTGGTGGATGGAGCCAAATGCTGAAACTGTGCCACAGGCTGGAGGCAGCACCTGCACCAGACGTCCTCTGACACAAGATTTTATTTTTGTTGTCCTCCGGGTGTAAGTCTTCTGCACGAAGGCACACTATCCTCGGAGTCTCAGGCCATGTTCAGCCATCTCTGCCTCTCTGACAGCAAATCTGGGGTATGAATCTGAGCCTCCACCTGCCGCTGAGCTGTTGTGAAGCCAGAAGTGCCACTGAGCCACTCTAGCTGTCATTGGCATGCTGGGAGCTGGTGAAGGTGAATCGAGGGGCCTGCAGACATAGACACAACGGGCCACACAGCTTTTGATCTGCGCATCCCGAAGCCGACCACAACAAAAGCTCCGAAGAGGAAAGGTCAGACCCATGAAGTGCTATTTGTTTTCACTGAAACTTCATCCCACCCACTTAACACCCGTCTAACCAGCAACGGAATCAATTACCACGTGTCAGCCCGAAATCTGACACAAGAAATCAAAGAAGGACACAACCTCCCCTGGGGGGCTGGCAGGCGGGCAGAGAGGGTGGGGGAGATGGAGAACTTGGGGAGGGAGGCAATGAATGAGCAGCTCTCTCCTGTAATTAAGGGTTAAAGGTAGCCCGAGACCTTGTTTCCTTCCCCACCTCCTCCAGCCTCAGATTAGTGTTACCCGGTGTACCATGGGGCATTTCTTATCGCGAAGGGTGGTCAGTAAGCCCATGAGGTTATTTGACTTATGTTACATAAGTTGCTCCATTTAATAATTGAAGACCAAAAAGTTCTAGCCGTTTATTATAGAACTCCAGGAGGGAGCATTCCTGGCAGATCATGTTCGCCCCCACGCCTATCTGAGCTGATTGAGTTGCTGGTTTCTCAGGCTTCTGTTAAATGTGGTGTCAGCTCGTCCAGAGCACCCATTTCAGATGATGTCATTTACTTGCTACATTTATGGACGTTGTGAAGAGAGAGCTCTGTGGGCTGCTTGGGCAGAACCCATAAAGTTCAGTGGAGAACCTGTTCTATTAAATAGATGCTTTTAGTTTCCCAAAGGTAAGGTTTGTGTTAATAAATGACACCTGAAGTCTTACATGTTTATTAATAGGCTCCCAACATGCAGAGCCCTCTCACCTTCAGTTGGTAATCTGCTCTGTGAATGACATTGTCCCTCCATGGCTTCACCTGTAGGAATGTTCCAGGTATGAATCATTGGTCACCTGGAACTTGGGTGCAGAAAGTAGGAGAATTGCTGCAGACATGCTGGTGGTTATGAAAAGACATGTCCTCTCATTGGCATGAATTAAAGAAAGGCCAAATTTCTGCTCAAGTGATTGGAATTGTAGGTGGAGTTGTCAGTGGCATGCTAGTGAATGACTCCTTTAGTTGTTAGAGCCGTTCTGTATGTCTGTATTGCTGATGCCTCTTTATGACACTGCTCTCAGACAACTTCTGATCTAAATGGTGCTCAGTCTTCAGTCCTTTGGTCTGCAGAGAGATACATGTGCTCCTTCTCTTAGCCTCTCAAAGCGATGCCACCTACATGTGTGGTTTATTTTCTGCCTACACAATGACACCGCTCACGTCTCCATCAGTATGCCAGCTCTTCAATTCCCCAGGCTCAGCTCTGCACCTCTGTTTCTAGTTGGAAAGGGTCCCGCTGTTTCCCAGACACCAAAACTCAGGGTGGCATCTGTCATCTTTCCCTGATTTGTTTTCCCCTCTACATCTTTTCTCCCTGTCAGATGTGGGAACAAAATCCCAGGGGTCGCTTAAGCTTGAAAGCCGAGATACTTTCCTAAACCCCTGTCTCCCTTATCCTGACGTCATCAGATGTTACTGATTTTACCTAAGTACTCCCCACATTCTCCCCATGTCACCGTTCCTGCTCCTGTGGCCCATATTTATGCCTCCAGCCTTTTTTCCCACCTGTGTTGACAGCCTCAGGGTGCTCACCTCTGTGGCGTTTGTTGGTCATGTTGTCTCCTCTTGCTAGACTCTGTCCCCTCTTTTCTTTTTCCAGCTAGTGAACCTTAAAGCTTTCAAGGCTCAAATCAGGCACCCCCCCACCCTTTTTAAAAGAAAACATCAATTACTTGTTTTCAGCACCTGCATTTTCCCCTTGTGCTCTCTGTCTTCCTGAACTCCACCCGGGTTTCTCCACCTCTCTAGGTAGAAGGTTTTGAATCATCTTTGCACCGAGTTGATACCAGTTACTAGGTGTTGACTGACTGCTGGGTTTTACCTGTTCTCCTTCCTGTCTCCACCACTGCATTTCAGGTTGCAGCCACCTGACTTGCGGAAGCCAGCCCACTGCTCTCCTGAGAGACCTTCCTCCTTGCTCTTCCAGCTGACGCTGTCCTCTGGCGTCCTTACATTAATGTTTCCAGAGTACTTTGTTCAAACCTTCCCCATACTCATTTTCTGCAGAGAGATGTTCTAATTCCCTAGCACTGCATTGGAGCCCTTTACAACCTGACCGTAATTTACTATTTTTGTGGCAGGTGCTGTCACGCCCCCCACCCCAACTTCCAGTGTCTCCCAGGTTACCAGCTGCCCCAGAGTCCTGCTCATGCTTTTGGCCTGTGGCCAGGCTGTTCTTGACCTGGGACTTCCTCTCTGGGTGTTGAAATCCTACCTACCTTTTAAGACCTAATTTAAATGGAACTACTGCCTGATGTCTCCTGATTACACCCCTGAGAACAGGCCCCCTTTCCTGCCAGGCTCCATGCCACAGGTACCCTGGTTCTCAGCCCAGCCTTCGGGGCACTTAGATGGCTGTTTTCTGCTCTTGGACTCCTCGAGTGTTTCCTTGCCATTCGGCGCCTCAGTTCTTCCATGTAGCAGCCCCTCATTAAATTCATTGCAAGAAACGAAGACCATGTGCTTTAAATGTGTATTTCAGAAGGAGAGCTCCTTATTTTCGATGTGTTCAGCTTTTAATCTTCGCCATCACTATTTCCCAAATCATTATGAACACTGTCTTGCCCTTTTGAACATTTAATCCAGTCAGACTTAGTTACTTTGAATACATAAGGTCAGATTCATGTAAGTACGACAGAGACGTTTCAGAAGCGTTGGTTCAGAAACTCTCACTGGACATCCCTCGGGGCGGTGTCGGCGTTGCAGCTGCTTGGGTGGGGAGACGAGCCTTTCATGCACCGTTCTCGGGGAGTCTGCAGATAACCACGCTCTGAAAGCGAGAAGCGCGCCGGAGACCGCTCCGCAGGGCACAGTCTAACGTGTCGTGGAAGACACGCGCAACTTGAAAATAAAGACGGCCCCTGAGAGCGCGGCCGCGTCCTCCGCGCAGCCGCCTGGGCTGCTCCCACGCTCGGCTTAGCGCCCCGCGTGACCCGCCCCGCGTGACCCGCCCCGCGTGACCCAGCGCACCCACGTGGCAGACGTTGGAGCTCGGTCCGGCTGGGAAATGGCCGAGCCGCTCTCCCCCGGGAAGGCCAAGGGCCAGGGGTGCCCCTTCCTGTTCAGAAGGCCAGGGTGGAAAGGGGCCGCGGGCCGCAGGAAGCGCCCAGTGGGCGACCCCGAGCCCGGAGACGGCAGCGACGAAGGCAGCTCCGTGGTTCGCCGGGAAGGGAGGCGGACCACCGACGGCCCCCTGATCCAGAGGACCCGTGGCGGGGGCCCCCAGAAGGTGGCTTCTTGCGAGGGGGAGGAGGACGGGCCTGAGGCTGCCCGTGTGCTCTACAAGTCCACCCGCTCGGCGAAGCCCGTGGGGCCCGAGGACATGGGGGCGACTGCTGTCTGCGCCCTAGGCCCGGAGGAGGAGCGGGACGCACAGGCCACCTCTGAGCGCAGCCAGCGGACCCAGGAGGAGCGGAGGGGCCGGGAAGACGACAAGGTCTATCGGGGCATCAGGAACTATCAGAGATACCCGAGGCCCAAGGAAGCCCGCATGGGCACCGCGTCCCCGGGGATGGCGCGTAAGGGCCCCATCCGCGCGCCCGCGCACCTGCGTGCCACCGTGCGCTGGGATTACCAGCCTGACATTTGTAAGGACTACAAGGAGACTGGCTTCTGTGGCTTCGGAGACAGCTGCAAATTCCTCCACGACCGCTCGGATTACAAACACGGGTGGCAGATCGAACGGGAGCTTGAGGAAGGTCGCTACGGAGTCTCGGAGGATGAGAACTATGAAGTGGGCAGTGGTGGTCAGCAAGTTCCGTTCACCTGTCTCATCTGTCGCCAGGCCTTCCAAAACCCAGTTGTCACCAAGTGCAGGCATTATTTCTGCGAGCGCTGCGCGCTGCAGCATTTCCGCACCACCCCGCGCTGCTATGTGTGTGACCAGCAGACCAATGGTGTCTTCAACCCAGCGAAAGAACTGATTGCTAAGCTGCAGAAGCATCGAGCTGCGGGAGAGGATGGGAAAGTGACAGAGGAACAGGCAGGTGGTCAGGTAGGTCCTGGGTAGATGGCTCCTGAAAGCATCAAGATGTCTTGCAGAAATCTTTAAGTAGAAAACACCACCTGGCCACAAGGAAGACCCTGGGCAGGATGCCCCCAAGATGAACTAAATGAGATTAAAAAATGCTGAAGCTTGCACAAGAACTGACCATGACCTCAAACCCCATCCTCATGGTAACTCATGATTTTTTTGTCTTTAAAACCCCCCAAATGTAAGCCATTGGTACCAGATTTTTAAGTGACAGCTTCCAGCTCTCCTCACATGGTGCCCTGCAATAAAGGGACCCCAGTTCCTCCACTGCAAACAACAAAGCAACATAAAAAAAACAAAATCATTTGATGGGTTTCAACTTTATGTCTCAAACTGGAGCCTATATATACACACAGAGCTTGAATCAGGGCCATGAGCCAGTTTTCTGGTTTTGGTCAGGCTCTGGCCCTAAGGAATTCACTTTATTTTTCTTTTACAGTCCAGGGAATGGATCAGTAGAAATGAACAGCCTAAACTGTATCTTGCTACATAATAAATGGATTTTGGATGAAATGCAATATACGATGTGAACATGTGGACAGCAGATGATTTTTAGATGTGACTAACATACTCATTAGGCATTTTTAGCAAAATTCTCCACTAGGCTCATTGTCCTGAAGTTGAAATACAAGAAGTTGACCGTCTAGTATGTCTTCCGAAACCCAAAGTTTAACTTAAATCCCTTTGAAGTCTTTTATTATGATTAATGAATCATTTCAACATTTTGCTACATTCAAAGGCCTGCAATAAAAGATAAAATCGAGTTCCTTACTAATCAAGGATACCACAAAAAAATTGGAAATCAGGCGAAAATGTGACATGAGCAGTAATACTAAACTTAAAAACCTGTATCAATCACTACAAATTTCAAGAGTTTGGAAACATTTAAGACTTTTCAAAAGTGCACAAGACTGATTTCAGGAACTACTTGGGAAATAGTTGGGTGATATTTGTAATGGAAGTAAACCCACTTTGATACTTTTCTCAAGTGAATGTTTATAATGAGAGTTTGGTATCACAAAGTCAGGATGGAGAAAGGCCTTCTGTACCTGCTTGTTTGTGAGCTGAGATTCCCAGGATAGGGCTGGGTTTCCTCCTCAAGTCTTTGTCAGCCACTGATGGGATAAAACTCACTTTTTTTTAGGGAAGCCAGTCATTGTCCAGGTGGGGAAGGTTATTGCCCACAAACTTCAAACTTTGGGGTTCTTGGCAAGGACTGCTGAGGACCCAGCTAAATCTACATTTAACTCTCAACCCCTGAGATAATCTCCAGGAGATGAGGCACTGCAGAGAGCTCAAGACTCTAATGCTAACACCCCTGGGAGAGGCTTAGAATAAGTTCATGCGGGAGCCTCCAGCAGAAGAGCTGCCCAGTCTGGGGGCTCAGTGAGGGAGCAGTGATTGCTAACCAGGCCAGCGAACAGCAGACTCACTACCAAGACTGTCAAGGGAAGAATCCAGACCATACCCTGAAAACAACAAACCCAAAAGTGGTTTTGAAAGTGAAGATAAGGAACTTCTGGATGTCTTGCCATCTAATTTTCCTCCCATCTTTTACAACTAGGAATTTTAGCCCCACACAAGTGTATCAGATAGGACAGCTGGTTGTCCAGTCCAGTCCTGCTGTTGTCTTAGACACTTGTCTCATTGTGTTACTCCCTGGATCAGAAATCCTCACTGATCCTCCCTTTGCTTTAAGGGGCAATCCACAGTCTTTAGCTGTATGGAAAGCCATCTATCTAAAAATGGGCCCAAAGTTACTCTTGCAGGTGTATGTCCCCTGCTCCCCAACATTAATTCTTTACCAGAGTAAAGTTACCCCAAGTGCACCTTCAGTCTGCCTGTCTCAGTACCTTTGCAGATGCCATCTACCAACACCCAGAATGATTCCCCTTATTTGCTCTTGTTCAGTGGAAACTTTGCCTAGATTCAAAGACCACTTTCATCTCACCACCTCCAGGAAAGCATCGCCCAAGTTAGATGCCACGGTTTCCTCTTTTATACCTTTAAAATGTCCATGCTGTCTAATGCTGTCAACCTGGGCTGCTGTAATCTCATAGACAATAATGGACACTTTGTTTTTCCTTTTCTACTCATCAGCACATAATGCCTACATGTGTAGCAGCTCTTCAGTACATAGTGTTGAGCTAACTGGGTGATTCAGGCTTCTGTGTAACTCTTGGTACCTAAAGGAGTGTCCATATAAACCCATCCATTTATCCATTCTCTCTCTGTTGACTACCTCCTCTGTCCAGCTCTGTGCTTGTTCCTGGAAATACAGCAATGAGCAATAAAGTCACAGTACCTGTCTTTGCAGAGTTTATAACCTTGTAGGAAAAGAGTCACACAACTCACAAGTGCTTGCTGTGGCCTACAGTTACTGGAGGCTTACTCTGCCGGTCATTCTGCTAGTACTTCTTCACGTTATCTTGTTGAACACCCATTACCACCCTTGGAGATAAGCATTATCATCTCCTTCTTACAGACCTGGGGACCGAAGCTTAGCATGTCTTTTAGGTTAACTTGTCCAAAGCCACATGGTTAGTGAGTGGGAGAGTGGAGCTTGTGTTTTTTAACCACCACATGAGATAATTACTAATATTAGAGGGATGACAAATACCAAAAATGTTATGTATGTTAGTGTCCTGTGGTGCTATAACAAATTAGCACAAACTCTGGTTTTAGAACAACACAAATTATCTTTAAGATCTGTAGGTCAGAAATTCAACATGGGTCTCACCAGGCTAAGACCAAGTTGTGGGCATGACCTCATTCCTTCTGGAGGCTCTAGGACAGTGATTTTCATCCTTTCTCATCTCATGGCACATAAACTAATGACTAAAATTCTGTGGCACACCAAAGGTATCTTTTGTCAACCTGACAAAACAAGTATATGTATATATAGATAAATCTTTATTGATTTCAGAGAGACGAAGGGGGGGGAGAGAAACATTCAGTGATGAGTTGTCATTGATCAGCTGCCTCCTGCACACCTCCTACTGGGGATCGAGCCTGCAACCCAGGCTTGTGCCCTGACTGGGAATCGAACCTCGATCTCCTGGATCCTAGATCAATGCTTAACTGCCGAGCCATGCCTGGCCGGGAAAAACAAATATAATTTTGATTCACACTGGACAGCTGTTGTGTTGGCGGTTGTCTTTTTTTTTTTTTTTTTACAATCTAAGGGAAAAGAGGTCAGTACCCTTGACTAAATAGTCAGGTATTGCATGTTTTAAAAATTCAACTGTGGCACACTGGTTGAAAATCACTGCTCTGTGGGAATTCCACATCCTTGCCTTCTGGAGGCCACCATCATTCCTTGACTCATCTCCTTTCCTCCAGCTTCAAAGCCAGCAAACTTCTCTCTGATCAGTCCCCTGTCATGTGTCTGTGACCACAGGTGAGAAACCTCTCCTATGTTTAAGGACTCGTGGTTACATCAGGCCCATCTGGACCATCCAGGGCAGTTTCCCCATCTTAGGATTCTTAATCATATCTGCATAGTCCTTCTTGCCATGGGAGGTTCCAAAGATTAGGGTGTGGATATCTTTGGAGGGCATTATTCTACTGACCACACTATAGGGGGTGTAACAAGGGGAGCAGTCTGGAGGTGGAGTGATTGCTCAGACTTCCTGGGAGGGTCACACACCCCAAACTGAGGACTGAGGAGGTTGGAAGCCCCTGTGGAGCCACAGAGCTGGAACTTTGCAGGTCCAAGGGAGAGGCTTGCTGATGTGAGTGGGGGAAATGGCCCTTTCTGAGGCTGGAGAGGTGGCGGGAGCCAGATCATGAGGAACATGCCTGGCAGGCAGGGGATGGATTTCGTCATGATTGTGGGAGAAAGGGGCAAGTAGCAGACATGATTGATTCGCTATTTCAGATCCTTCTGCCATTGGGTAGAGAATGGGTCTGTAAGGAGCAAGAGTGGTCGCAATTAGGGTATTCTGATAGCTTGAGTAGGGGATGTTGACAGTCTAGATCATGAAGGGGGCACTGCAGGGTGAGAGAGTCCATTTTGGGTACTGGCGTGGAAGTGGAGGTAGGGACAGACTCCCAGGCTTCTAAGTAGGACGACTGGAGTAGGCGGAGCCTTTATGATGACACAGCGGCAGCGGCAGGAAGACCAGGCTTGGCTAAGTGCAGTGGTCAGAGCTGAGCGGTTGCAGAAGGAGCAAAGGCCATTAATACTAGAAAACGTTCCTCTTGAGGATAGGAGGCTAGAGCCAAGTGGGCAGAACCAGGGCAACATTTGACAGAATCTCTCATTTTGGTTCTTATGATTGAATATTTATTTGTTTAAAGAGACCCAAATGCATGATGTTGAAATGCCTTCTGGAAAATTATGCAGACCGAGTATCCTGATTGTTGGTTTGGTTTGATTAAAGATGATAGATCTATTATCTTTCAGCCTGCCCATCTTGATAACCAGACATTCTTTTCCCCTCTGTACCTGGTGCCTTTATGTGCCCTTTATTTATCAGCCTGGTGTCAGCCTAATTCTCTGGGCACAATGTACAATCCTTGCTCTTTAATAAGATGCATTTTGTTTTTCAGAAAGTACATACAGAATTGTACATTTCAACAAAATTAACATTGTGCAAACAAGATTTAGGGAAATAGGTTTTGGCATGAGAGAATTGTGGGACTAAACAAGACAAGACAACCCACGGTGCAACACTGAATTTGCAGAACTGTGGGCAGGCATGATTATCTTCTTCAGATCTCACAGCTTGACCAAACCTACTAACAGGTTAGGTTTAGAAGCTCCACATGAGAAAAGAAAGACTGGAGTAACTTCTCCTGGCAAGCAAAAATACTTCTGAATTCCCCACTGGTCCCCCATTCATCCCTGGGGATGCTGTTGGCTGACCCATGGGATGGTCTGGATGCCCAGATTTCTGTGGAGGGACTTCCCTTTTGTTCTTTTCTTTAGTCTGTTTCGGTGGTTCTCAAACTTCAGCAAGCACAAGAATTACTACACATACAG